CAAAAAATACATACAATAAATAAATAAAAAATAACTTAAAAATAGGTAAATTGAACAAATCCAGACATGGCTTTATACAATAGACGCAAAATTTAGTGTCCTTTAATTGTTGAAGTATAAAACGGTTTCTTTGAAAGCACCGTTTTGGAATTATAAATCAAGAACGGAAAAAAGTCAGAACAATTGAATATTTTTTATGTTTTAACATTAGCTAGCGTCTTGTAAAATTATCATACTTATTTTTCTTTTTTTACGAAAGACTAAGCGATAAAATTGAAGATTTTATTTTCTAAGATTTATTTCCGCCTTAATAGTCCTATATAACCTCCTTATTTTAAAAATTTGGGGGCATAGGTCACGCCATACGGCTCAATATTTTGGAGGCCACCTTTTTTTCTCGATTTTGTGATAAAATTATCTCACGTTCCAAGTAGAAAGAAAACGTCTTTTTACGAGTTTTTAGTACCTAATTAAATAGACAAAGTTTGTCCCACTCCAGATTGAAGACGCCCCAATTCCAAGAGTTTTCGTCAATAAAGTAGTTGTAAGTTACGATGCGATGAAACTATTTATGAAGTTTCAGGTGGATGTTAATAATTCGGTAAAAAGGGGACTGTACCACGGACTATAATCTCTTATCTAATATTCTATTAAAAATTTCCCGGACAATATCTAGTACGGCGCTCAAGATATATCATCCCGCATAACACTACCAGGTGACTAATTTAAACCGAATTATATTATTTGCGTTCTGTGTTATATTATCTTCCGAATTATATTACCTTTCTTTTTACCTTAAAATTTTCCTGATATATCAGAATTACTAACCGACAAAATAATTACTTAATACAACAAACTATTTTTGAAAATTTAAAAAAGTATGTTCGTGATTAAGTTTTTATTTTGATTAGTTTATTTCTTTTATTTATATAAATTTACTTTTAATATTATTATTTTTCTGTCTTATGTATTGTAAATAGAGTGCGAATGTGTTCTCTGAACACTATTATAATTGCCATTAATTGTGACAGATTCTAATGTTTTTCAATAAATAATTAAAAATAAAATTTATAAGTTCTTAAAAAATAATTAAATAAAACAAGCTTATAAATGAAATTAATTCATATGCGAAGGGATCTATCGGTTAATTGATGTTTTCTCTAAGAGAAGAGGTAGGAGATACGTTTTTATTATAATGAAATAAATTCCCATGACCATGTGATCCACATTTCTCCCATTTTTCAGACCTCTGAAAAGCTATTTTTCCTTTTCTAAGCAAAAAGAGAATAAACCAAGAGATGAGTTGAAAACAAAAAGAGGGCCTAAGTTTATTAAAATAAGTTGTAGAACAAGGAAGGGCTTATATAACAGCCGGGTCGAATCTCATGAATATTCCTGATGGGCCTTGTTATCAGAGTTTGTCCCTGGAGACTGACGGATATCATCCCAACTACGCCATTGTCGTATGTCTAAAATTTTAATAAGAGGGGGCTCTCGCTAAACATATGACGCATATCGTATTCATGAAGGCACGAGATAGAAAAGCCAGAAAAGGCTTTTATAGCATGTTTTAAGCCGGCGTAAAAGAATAAAAAAAATTTAGTGGCCCTTGGGTTTATGTTTAAACGAAGAAGCGTAAAAGTGTATATGTCGTTGTTTAAAATATTATAGAACAGAAATTTTATTGATTTTTCACTAGATGATTATTTAATCATGGGTTGTGCATATAATGCAATAAATATTTCTATATTCCTTTAATCTCTCATTTTTCTTCGAGACACATTTGAGACTACAAACCATGTTGGGAATGAATTGAATTACGATTCTCAAGACTCCAGAGTTCCACTTGTCATAGATTTAAATCCTGATCATCAAGAAATATAGAAAGATCTTTATTCTCAAACATGCTCGATCTGCCAGTCATCGTTTAAAAATAACCGTGAGGTTACAATACACACATCAAAGAGATACCTGGAAGGGTCAAATAGGATCAAACTTGCATCATTTGAAAAGAAGAAAAGAACTGAAAATGACAAGCAGCTAACAGAGAGCGTGGGATTTAGATATTGGAGCTTGAGATTAAGAAATGGCAAACCGAATTTAAAGATCTTCTAACGGGATTCGGGCAAATTCGAAACAATTATGGACGATTTTTTTATATTCCTGAGAGAGGCTAATGAAGCACATCCTGGCCTGAAACATCCAGCTACTCGGTTCTTTCAGCTGCGTAGGAGGAAAAAAAAATTGAAATGAAGAGTTAGGGGGGAGGTAATTTCAGCAATCCCCAGAGATCTAATAAGGCTGCCAGAGAGAGGAGGCAGGAGTAATATGAGTAGGATCTGGCTTAATACTCGTATAAGTACTACAACTTTAGAAAGAAAGTGGTCCAGAGCATAATGAATGCGGGCAGCCCCAAAGCAATGCTCTGTTAAAATCGAAAAGATTGAAGCTCATTTTAAGTAAGTTTTTGAGAATTAAAATGATAATGTGAGGGAAAGCTATATGCCCTACTCCAATATTCCGAATGTAGAAACTATAGAGCTAAGAGTTGTTCACAAGGCGATAAAAAGCAAATCTATGTACACGTCGCCCAGCCTTGATGGTGTTCTTATGAGAACAATAAGGAAGCTTGGAATTTCACACGTAATAAAAATGATAATTGACGTTTATCCAAATGAAATTCGGCTATGTCTCTGAAATTCTTCGATGCGAACGAACGATTTTAATTTATAATAGAAAGAGTTCTATTGCCGATTGGTATTCGTGTAGACCCATAACAATTTACCTCTTATTTAAGAGCGTCGTTGATGAAGTTTTTGATCACGAACTTCGGATGGAAATTTCTTTTCACCCAAACTAGAGGGGTTTCGAGATCGGACAACCGAGGTACCACGTAAAATCGAGAATCATCGAGGCTGTTCTCAAGGACGCAAAGAAGAAACGGAAAGATGCTGCAGTTGGATTCTTGGACGTAACGGGGACATTTGATAATATTAGCCACAAGCATGTTCTGAAGTTCCTAGAAGGGTCTTTCATCTGTTCTTAAAAAAAGAAATAGAAAGCCTATTATGTCACAACCAGTAACAATATCTTGAGAGGGGTACTCAGGGTGAACCACTTTCCCAGGCACTCTTCAATGTGATTATATATTCCCTATATGCGGAACTGTGCGATCCAAAAGTTGCGAAGGAATATGGATACATATCATTCCATAACCACTATGTCGTTCTGCTAACAGGCTTTGCTAAAGAACAATCAATTACAGCACGCAGTGTTAAAGCTGGGGAGATGGCAAGATGCTTTGTGAGTTGGGACTGTCCATAAATCCCCAAAACAGTTCTGGAATCATCTTAGAGAAGGCTAACTTAGTAAAATCAAGGTTTCGATTAGGCACTGGAGAGGTAATCAGCTCCTTTAAAGAGAGTGATACTACCAAATACCTTGGATGTCGTTTCTCTGGGGAACTAGAGTTTGATGATGTTTCTGTGGCAAAAGTAACCAAAAATATGGATAAATTGGTTAGTTAAATCTCCTTAAGCCAGAACAGAATATTAATATTATTAAAGGATATGTTTTCCCATCATTAAACAGGGTTAAAATCGCCCTCAGCACCGGGACCCGAACTCGTAATATTCAATTTATCACTATTGCCAGGCAATGCGTGTTTTGCCCATTCCACCTCTCTGTCCTATTTTTTTTTTTTGCAATCATTCACAGTACTAGTAAGTATACTGTAAATAGATATATTATTTTATTTCAATGGTTATTTTGGGAATGGGAGTGTACCCTTTCTCCTCCCTCATTGATCCGTTACAGGTTTTGAGCGGATTGAAATGAAAAGTTAATTTTTATTTTTAATCAGTTCCTACACGACTGGAACTTTTATCTTTGATTAGTTTTGTGTTATTAGAACTTTTTTCCATGGAAATATTCAATTAAAGTTTTGTGAATCCCCTACTGTTAGATTGTAATATCAAGAAAATGGGAGAAGAAAATGGATTTATTAATTAATTAACATTTGAATTAAATTGAAGATGAGTAATCCTGAAGAAGATATGATTATCTTTAATTGCCTCTATTTTCCATTTGACTGAGGCAGAAGGAGAGGGAATTCAATTTCCACCCTATCAATCCGACGAGAGGTTAATGATTTTTAAGAATAAAATATCTTTACAGAACATTTTTTTATTTCTATTATTATTTTTTTAAAGAAATAATAATTATTTAATTCTGTTAATATTGTTATCACTGTCAGCATTTCTCAGACTTAATCTAAATTTGAAAAAACTAAGAACTCTATTAGAGGATTATAATCCTAAAGTTCGCATAAGCATGGAGTAAATAAAACTATGAAATGTTACCAATTAAATATAATAATAATGGAATATTGGTGTTTCATTGCATTAAGAAGATGAATTATATGGAAACATCAAAAGATGGATTTTAACAATAAGGAAAATCTTATTTTTATAACTATATTCTCTAATATTTAGTCTGTGAAAATAATTCACATGGTATATTCATCATTGATAAAATGATAATATGGAAATAATTGAATGTAATTTCTGTGGAGAGGGGTTAAAATTATTTTCTCTTGGCCGATTATGAAGGTTTATTGGTGAAAAAAATAAAAAGCAATATCCTTTTTTATTTTACACAAAAAAAAGTCGATTGGTATGATAATAAATTTTATTTTTTATTTATTTATTTAGACATATAATATTCTGTCACAAGGACAATAATTACAAGATAAATAAATTAAAAATCTATGCAGAGTCAGAAAACAGTAATATACAAAATAATTTTTTTTCTTGGCTCCCAGGGTATATTGTTAAGAACCCTTGCAAAAGGGTCTAATATTTTTCGATCTATTATCACCAAAGTAGGTTTCATTGAAATCAGTCACCCCATATCCGTAACCTCTCCTTGTTAGCTAATACATACCACTTTTGTTTATTGCATTATTTATTTGTTTATCATTAAGTAATTCTCGCACTTACTTGTCAAGCCCTTTGAAGGCCTCCGGTTCTATGTTGATGATCTTGTTCTCGTAGAGTGTTAGGATTTCCAAGGTGTCCAGTCCTTCGAAGGCTTTGTTGTGGAGGGTTGTTATCTTGTTGTGGTTGAGGTTGAGGATGATGAGGTGGTGCAGGTTCCTGAAGGCAGGAGATGGCACAGAGTTGAGGATGTTCTGGGACAAATCAAGTTGTGTCAGTCCTTTTCCTGCAATCAGATTTCATAGGATATAATTACAATAAATGATGTATTGGTTATTTTAAAATATTAATGTAATTCCTCTTCCAAGAATAATTTAATAATATTAGTTGACCCGTGCGAATAATACGTACAGTGTATTGGTTAGTTTTTTTTTCTTTCACCCTCTAGCGATTCTATTATACAAATTACTATCATTATAATAGGGCTTAGCGAACCCGGAGGTTCGCTGCTGATACCATCAGTCAATATCTACATTCTTCCATCCACTGGTCGCCGTCTAAGCCCAACCTCGTCAGATCAACCTTAACGCAATCATTCCACCTTCGCGTCGGTCTACTCCTTGCCATTCGGCACAGCTCATATTATTTTTTATGGAATTCTTCCGTTACTAAGCCCAGTGATTTCATACGCCTATTTAATTGCGTCAACTTAGTTATCTCAGTTATATTACCGGTTGACTCATCCTTCATCGGTCGGAATATTCTGCGTAATACTTTATTTTCAAAAACCTCAAGACGATGCTCATCCATTAATGTAAGTGACCACGCATCGAATTCATAAAGAACCGTAGGAAGGATAATGGTTTGGTAAATTCCGAGTTTTAAGTTTCTTGACAGTCGCGAGCTCACCTAGCCTGAACATCCTCTTCAATTTCGTTATATTTTTGTTATCGTAGACCCTAAGTACCTAAACTTAATTAAACGCATTTCCTTCAATATCTATAACACCGAAATTGTTGCCATTTTTGTTGGTAACCACATATTTTGTCTTATCCTTATTTATTGCGAGCCCCTGTTCCTGATTGGTTACAAATGGCTCTATATTCATGTATATCTATTTTTAATTTTCCTTGCTTTGCCCAATGACATTATTATTGTTCGCAATAAAATCTATTATATTAGCATTTATACGTGTATTTTTTTGTATTGATAATATTTTTTTTTAATTTTGTTTCAGGTATGTTTTGATGTTTGGCTCAATTCTCTAGAAACGCTGAGAGAAAATCGAATGTCAATATAATATATAGATAAGTAAATGCAATCTATAAAGGCGGAGAGAAATATTTTAAAAATAATAGACCAAAACATGTAAAAATTACAATTGGCTACTCAATTACTATCATCATAATTCGTGGTAGAGACCCCTTTTCTCAAATTATTAACATCCGCCTAAAATTTCGTGAATAGTGAACTTCATCTCATCGTAACCTACAAATATTTTATTTACAAAAATTCTCGAAATTGGAGCGTTTTCAATTTGTAGATCGGTAAACTTTGTCTATTTCATTAGGTACTAAGAACTCATAAATTTGCTTCCAAATCTTAAGATATGGTCACAAAGTCGAATAAAAAGGTGGCCTATAAAAATATTGGTCCGTTTGGCGTGACCTCAACCCCCAAAATCTCAAAATTACGAGGTTATGCAGGACAAACGGAACAATACTATTTGTAGACCACCTTTTTTTTTTTTTTATTTTGTGATCATATCCTAAGATTTGGAAGCAAATTTATGAGTTTTTAGTACCTAATTAAATAGACAAAGTTTGCAGATCTCTAAATTGAAAACGCTCCAATTTCGAGAATTTTAGTAAATAAAATCTTCAAAAGGAAGATGATACTTCCTTCGATTCGAGTGGAAAATAGATGGGTATTCATGGGTTTATGGGGTTTACGATGAGAAGAAGCTATTCACGATTAATATTAATAATTTGATAAAAATGAGTCTGTACTACGGACTATATACATGTTTCGCCTACTGTAAATAATTATAAATTAGGTAATTAATTTTCAATTTAGTGATTAATTTCCAATTTTATTTTTTATTAGTAATTTTTTAAATATAAGATTATACTTGTTATATGTGGTTTTTTGTTGAATTAACAACTATAATTTAGAACGAAAGTAATCTAGCAGGATAAAATACCCAATAATTTTAGATAGATGGATATAAAATAAACTTTATTCTGTGACAAGGTTTCTTAAGAACAACAAGTAAAAAATAAATAAAAAACACATCTGGCAAAATACTACATTAACAGTAAATCAAATAATAAATACAGAATCTTCAACAACATTTTCAAGAACGTTTTTCAATGACTTTTGTTAATGGTATAGTAGGAAGATATGGATCGCATAGGAATTCGTCACTTCTCCATGAACCTTTCGTTTGATATCTCATTCCTCAAAATTCATTGTTCCTTCCTAAAAAAAAGGTATATACTACATTATAGCGTATATAGTTTATTTTATAATGCGAGTTTAATATCGTCGGTTTATTGAAAAAAGTCATTAAGTGACATTTCATAATCTCATAAAATGCAAATGTACCGGTAATAGACACTTAAAGAGAATTTTTGAACATTATTGTGCATCACTCTTTAATTTCTGTTTTGCGATAAAACGATGACGTATTCAATTAGATTATAGTTCATGCCATGCTGAAAAGATAAGCGTGGAGGGTATTAAAGCGTTGAAAGAGCCGTGTTAATCGTAAATTATTATTTTATATTATATTACAAGAGAGATCTCTTGGTTTCTTAACTACATGACAATAAAATAATTCTAATAATATAGTTCTTTAATATCAAGTAATTAAAAGTAAAATTGTTATAAATGAATTTTCGTTTCTAAAACACGTAAATTAACTGATTTAAAAGATTATTAAATTTTTACTAACAATTTACCGTATACTATTATAAAATATTCCACAATCGAGGAATATATTTTATAAAAAAGCTCCGTAAAAGACTTCTGTGATAATCAAAGAAAAATATATCTGAAGAATAGGTATGGGAATAAGTTTATTTCCACTGTTCCCTTTATAGGTGACAGAAAAGATATTTACAGTGTCAAAAGTGATTTTTATTGCCGGCAATAAATAGGTTTTGCTTTTCCTGAATACTGTTCCGATGTAAATCCCTTTTGTTTGTATCATTTTATTGTTTCTGGTAACCTGCAATGGTAGATAACATTCGTTTACGAATTCGCTATTATCGTTTTGATTCTAAAAACTGAAAATAATTGCATGTCTGATTAAAACGTACTCTCTCTTTAGGCGTTATACTTTTGTATGGTCCATATTAAATAAAAATTAACAATTTCATAAAACTTATAGTCGATTATTTTTTCAGATATTTATGAATAATTTATAATCATCTCAAAAGTTAGTTTAATTAATTACACGAATTGTACTAATTGCTACGGTCAAACTGAATAAATGCACTTAAACCATTTCAAGAAATATCAAAATGCATTTGAGGTACCAACAAAACCATAAATTCACAACAAGAAAAGTTCTTACTCTCAATTTCTTGATAGACGATTTTATTATATATTCGTGCATAATAAGTAGTAGATATTATATCACCCATGATGCAGACGCCTTTTTATCAAATTATTAACGTCCGCCTGAAACTTCCTGAGTAGCTTAATCTTATCGTAACCTACAACTATTTTATTTTCTAAAACTCTTGGAATAGGGCCGTTTTCGATTTAGAAAACAGCAAACTTTGTCCATTTAATTAGGCACTAAAAAGTCGTAAATACCCATTTGCTTTCCACTTGAATCGTAACATAATTTGAATAAAAAATGTTTTTTTTTTTTAAATCTCTTTATTGAGAAATAATACATTTTGCCACATTTAAGGCCCCTAAGTACTAAAGCTGAGTGAGGCCCATTCATACTATATATACAATGCAATAAAAAAATAAAAAAATAAATAAAAAATAAAAATATATATCTATATAACAAAGGTAAAAACTATAAAACCTAAGAAATTTAACTTGAAATAAAATTTTTAAAAAAAATACAGAAAATAGTAGCAAATTATATAAGTCATAAGTACAAATAAATATATAAAAAAGAAAAACAATCATACTTAATATATAAAAAAGAAAAACATTCATACTTAATTTACAATTGAATAAAAAAAATTAAGAAAACATTGGCCAACAAAATTATTGGACTATTTGGCCTATAGAAAAGAAGAAGAAGAAGAAAAAGTATTTTTATTAATTAAAATTATATAATATAAATTAAAAACAATACAAAATGATATTTTTGGATTTAAAACCGAAAATCAGACGTGCTACATGATCTGTTGACTGTCAGAGGAATCTGTGTTTTATAACAAAATTATATTTCAATACAATTAATTAATAAGAAAATAAGAACAATTATATTTACAATGTAAAAGTTATATAAATATTTTAATTACAAACAGAGTGATACCAAAATCCTCTAATTTATTAATTGTTAAATTCTTTGGTGAGCATTATTTTATAGGAGAAAGCAGACTTGCAGTAATTCACCTCTGATGATTGAATTATTTCCATTTATTAAATTTATTACTTAATCCCGAGATAAATTTCTAGATTTTAAATATTTAATTCTAAATTCAGAGAATATCGGACAAGCAGCCAGGAAGTGATAGAGATCCTCTGTTTCATTTGTATTACACATGGTACATTTACATGTACCACATATAATGTAACATATAACATGCAAACAGTACATGTACATACATTCATTTGTTTGCTTGTTTGGCCTATATAACCTCGTTATTTTGACATTTTGGAGGCTCCGCTTAATTTTTTTAAAAACCACCTTTTTTCTTGATTTTGTGCTCAAATTATCTGACGATTTAATTGATTTAATTGATTTAATTATCTGACGATTGACGATTTACGAGTTTTGACTACCTAATTAAATAGACAAATATTGCCGATCTTCATATTGATAACTACACAATGCGAAGAGTTTTCGTAAATAAAATAGTTGTAGGTTACGATGAGATGGAGTTATTTACGAAGTTTCAGACGGATGTCAATAACTTGATAAAAAGCGGTCTGTGTACCATGGACTAATACTTTTTTAATGTCAACTTTTCATCAGGAACATATGATGAGCTATGTTCAGATACTAGCGGGTTCAAGTGAGAATTTGGGGCTGAAGTATATCAATATAGAAGTTTATTTTATTTTTTTCATTGAGGGATTTGTGCCATA